CGGTTATTGTGAACGATTCGATTTGCGACCGGTTAACACCGCACTTCGACGTAAAACGTATTTTATCGCCAGATATTCTGTGCAGCTTTTACCGTCCGATTATTCGCTATCGGTACTTCGGTATTAGGAATTAAGAATCGCGGAACTAAGAAATGAGTGTGTGAGCGCGTGAAAGTGTGTATGTGTGTGTGTGTGTGTGTGTGTGTGTGTGTGTGAGAGAGAGATAGAGAGGAAACCGAAAGAGTACGAGAGATTACATTTTATTTTCTCTACCACTATTAGCACGAGTGTGTTGTAACAACATTATGGTTCTGGTACGTAAACGTTAAGAGCCGTTTTACATGGCTGTACGGAAGCATTTCGCAACAATATTTAGCAACGTTCATCGAACAATATTTTGAAACACGCTTGAAAAACGATGTACGATATTAATTACGTTTTGTTTATCATCGTTTGCATCAAAACAATAGCAAACGGCAGTTGAGCGGCTTTATTGCACTTGAGAGCAATCCTATTAGTTATACGATTCGTATCGCGTTCTTCCATCATGAATTTAAAGGCAGATTATTTTAATTATTATTAAACAAAAAAGTTACCGATCTAATAAGTAACTTGACGACCGCGTTCAAAGCTATTTAGATCGCATCGTAATTGAACGTTTTTTTAATCAAGTTTCTAATTTTTAGTAAAACAGTGTTTTTTTTGTAAATGAGTAATAATAATAAAATAAAAGCGTGGTAAAATTTAATCTCATGGTTCGACTAAAAGCATCTTCAAAAATAAACTTTTCGTTTACCGAATCTGATAATTTATAATAATATTATACTTCATTAATACGTCTGTATATCTAAGTGATTTTATTTTCTACACGTTTCATTCATACGAACCCGACGATAATATTCGCTTCTTCACGCACAGCACTTACACAACGATTTCAATGAGTTAAGTGTATTATACACTTGCTCGTAAATATTATCCGAAACTCGTTTGAATGTTTAATTTTCTTACAATCTTTTCGAGAGATAATTTAACGGTTATTTTTTTTATTATTTTTATTATTATTATTATAATTCATTATTCAACCGTTTGGAATATTTAAACAAGTTTTGTAAAAAAAGAAATTAAATTATTTAAGTGACAGAAATCCGGTTCAGTTGTGTTCCTTCGAGAGTTATTTGACTCATCGTCGGACATAGGTTTTTATTGTCTTTAAATTTTATTTATTTTCGCCGGCGTTTAACGGACAGACCAAAATGATGATACCTAACTGTAGTATGTACCGTTGGAAAATCTTATATTTAGACATCGACACACACGCGTATCGCTATGGCGTGTCACAGTGGAAAAACAAACGCATAAATAATAGATGATAATCTCCACGCACTTGTGGCTCGACTCGGACGGCTCTGTACAAACAGCTGTGCACAGTCGTGAACTCGCCGATAGTTTTATTTTGTTTTACCGAAATATTAGTTCATTATTGTACGCCTGGATTACGGTGTGTGTGTAGTCTGAGTGTGAAAGAGCAGATACGACATCGATCGAAAAAACTTTCTTTTTTTTTTTTTTACATATGAATTAGTATATTATTATAGCTTATCGAGAAAAGAAATTTAGATCTGTAATCCGGCCAAAAAATCTCAACGACCTTGCACACCGAACCGGAGTTAGTGACGTTGTATCCGCATCAATGAGCTTCCCGTAAATGTGTATAAATTAAAAATGAATGGCATAAAAATATCGAAAAATCTAAAGAATTCGAATATTAAACAAAAATAAAAAAACGCCAATGTGATATTGCCTGATGGACAGTTTATACGAACGAAACGGTCAAATTCATAACCGTAAACGATATTATTTAGCCATGGTGCTGTATTATTTACAATAAAACATAATACTGGTGTCATTCAAAAATGATTGATTTCGATCGAAGTTAGTTTCGTTCATAATTTAAGACGGAAACTGTAATTCATTACTCTTCAAATGCTCATTGCTCTTTGTAAATGTATTCCTTTCCAATATTTTTTTTTTTAAATTATATTATTATTCCTGACACCACATAACAATACTATATATATATATATAATTATATATCTAATAAAATATTTTTTTGAACATTTAAAAGTAATAAATTCTGTCGTAAGAGTATATACGAGCTTTAATATGTAAACTTTAAGACTTTCAATAACTCTAATATTCATGCTTACATTTATTTTGTGTTTATTTTCTACAATTGTACTTATTAAATAGAGTTATTTTATTTGCATTACTAATATGAATCTCTAGTAAATTTAGTCATTCCTAAACCAACTTATGAGTACATCCTATGTGATTATATTTAAATATTCGCCAAATAAGATTAACTATACCGTCTAATGAGATTTTGGTAGATAAATCATAAAGTTAAATAGTTCAATCGTTCTAAATTTGCTGTTGTACATGTTTTTCAATATTAAACATGTACACGAAGTTAAACTTTGATTTAATTGTAAGGTTTAGAAATAAGAATAAAGCACAATAATTATAATAATGTTATAATTATTATATTACATTAAACGCAATGCTTTAACAGTTTTTGCTTAACAGATTTTATACGGTGTGGAAGAAAAACATGTAAATTATCGTATTCTTACATCTAAACTTCATTTCAGTTCTACTTCTAAATAGATACACGTATTAGTCATCGACAATTATTTTGAAATTAAGCTAACACAAGTATTCTATAAAAAATACAAAATTAAGACTAAAAGTAATTTTATAAATTATTACGAGATAATACAAATTTGTCTTAACTTTTATGCAAACAACCGATAGTTAAAAACTTTTTGTTATCATTTTTTTTTCGAATAAGGAAAAGTTTAAATCGAAAGTTTCTACTTTTTTTTTTCTTTTATTCAACATTGTAGGCTAAATACAAATCTAATTTAAAATTATGAGACTAATGGTATAATATAATATTATGTCAGTTATATCATTTAAACGTATAAAAAGTAGATTTTATGTTAAGCTTTCAGCCAATACACGTTGTTCATAAGTACACGAAACAAGTTAACGAAACACTAACAAGCTTAAGATAAAACTTGATCAGTGCTATAACAAATGAAACAAAAATTGTTGTTTGCAATATGATGCAAAATATTAATTAAACAACCGCACTTATAATTACCCCGCAAAAATTAGTCCTCCGAACAATATTATTTTCGATAATTAATTTAATCGTGTTGCTTGTTGTGATAAACTATAAAAATTGTTTATCACTTTTACAAAAAAAAAAAAAAAAAAAAAAAAAAAATAGAATTACAATCAATAATAGTGAATATTTATATGGTTTAAACGGAGTAAAATTTATGTCACCACTTAATCCACTAGTGATAACTCATAATTTCAGTGTATTATAGTAATAACAAGCAAGAAGTTAAGTGAAAGTTCAATTTGAGATTTCATACATTTAACAAAATTATAAAAAATATGTTAAATATACTATGGTTGGTTTGTAATCGACTCGGAGCGGTGCATTTCGAAATGATTCTTTCGGTAATTGTTGTCAAAATATTTCATCACGAAAAACCGTGTTATGAAAACTTTATAATTTTATAAAATTCGTCGAAACCCGTATAATCCCTTCACAGCTCGTCCGTACGGAAATATTGTCCACCGTCTTGTGAACAATACAACCGCAGCTGTTCGGATTTAATATTCGACGCGCCCTAAACGCAGTCAAAACGAAGTTCGGCAGTCCGACGGATTTATTAGCAGTGCCGACCAAACGACTATTTTAAAATATCGTCAACGAGCACCTCGCGTTGACTAAACACAGGAAAAATAAACGAATAAACATAAACGCGCATCGATATCAAACCGTTTAAATTACGTTTGAACATTATAATACGTATTTATACATTCACATCTCCGTGACTATTATCATAGAATTTTACTTTTAAACCGCTGTGCGCGCGCACACGACAACGGTGGCCAACATTTTCTCCGGAGCAAAGCCGCTTTCTACGCTTACGTATGCGTAAAGTAACACAATCAATCAACGCAGGCGCGTGTCGAGGGGAAGGTTCTAACCACCCACTCTCTTCGAAATTTTAACGAACTAGGAAAAATGTAGGTATTGCTTAATATTTTTTATACAGTTTAGGTTCAATATCATAAGCATTCTTTATTGTTGTTTGTACATAACATTGACGATCTATCCAGTACTTAAAAATTCACCAAAATGATTATCTCGTGAAACAAACACATTTTAAATACGCGGTAGTAAAAATATTGAACGCCCTACCTCCGTCGGATAGATGTTTCGAAACGCGCCCCTGAACGAACGATCGAGCACTGCATTATCCTAGCATACATGTACGTCCGTCATCGGCAGTGCCGGATTATCCATTACGCGGAGTAGGCGCTCGCCTTAGGGCCTCACTCATTTAAGAGTCCCTGTAAAAACGGAAAACTACATTTTTTTTATTTAATAATAAGTTATACGTTAGTTATATGTTTACTATTCTATGTAATTGGGCACGTCCCGTTTTTCAATAAATAAATAATACCAGTATTTTATTTACGAATTTACGGGACAAATCATCATGAAATATATATTAAGTTTTAGGTGTTGCATGCAGTAATAATAATAAAATTATTTTGAAAAAAATAAAAACAATATAATGATTAATTAATTTTTCTTTCGAATAAAAAAATTTAATAAACACGATTTAATTTATTATTAATAGTTGGTTATTATTAAAGCTGTTTATTTTAATCTTTGGACAGTAATGTTAAAGATGTATGTAAAAAATAATTTTGTAGGGCCTAAAATTGTAATCCCCTAGGGGCCCACAAATGTTTAATCCGGCATTGGTCATCGGCCACTAACTGCGGTAGTCGAATTACAGTGATAAACGGCGTTCTCGTCAGCTTATCTCATTCGTATGTTTCGGAAATGCGCGTACGTTTTCGTTCGTGCGATACTAAATTGTTTTGTATTTATTTTTTTTTTTCAGATCACAGACAATCGAAATAAAAATGAAACTCATCGCCGTCGTGGTCTGTACACTTCTCCTAGTCTCTACAATAGTTTCGGCTGCCCCGTCTTACGCTGACTACGAGAGTGAGTGCATACATTTATTTACGTGCTCCATTGTGATGACGGCTTTATCCCGCGCTGTTCAAAGAGTATAATATATGCTAAATTTTCAAGTGAACACAGTTACACATCGACGCAAACGTTGATGGGTGTTTTAAAGACTTATTTGCGTAGGCACACGTCGTAATAACTTTCAGACGGTTTGAATCCGAAACGAAAATTCGTATAACATCTTCAGAGCGTGCAGTTAGCTTATAATATAATATAGCGATGTTATTGAACGAACGGCATGAGAGAATAAATGAAAAATAACACAAATTATAGAGAAATTTTAAATTCACTTAATTTTACGACTCCGATATTATGTCTCGTTCGGGTTGCTATACGTTCACGATGAAAAAAACCTTTTGATAAATTTTTAATTTTGGGGGATTTGAATAATAATAATAATAAAAAAAAAAAAAAGGTACGAACAAACGTTGAATAGAAAATGCAATTTTACGCTGTTCGTTGAATAGGGCAATCGGACGAACCCGAAGAAATAAAGCTCGAGAAGAAAACATCTCGTAACGAAGAAATATCCCATAAAAATAGGACCCGAGTAAAAAATCGCATTACGCCAGAAAAACGGAAAAATAAAAAAATGTATTAATTCGTTTTTACATATTGCCATAGTATGCGTATTAAATATTAATACACGTTTTGTCGCAACGAAATCAATCAGTTATTTGTGCGTTAGGTACAACAACAACTGTCCGTTAATGCACCGATAACGTACGAGGCGCTGAAACGTTAGGCTAAAAATTAAAAAAAAAAAACTATCCATTTACGTTCACGGTCTCTCCGAGAGGCCTTTTCGTAGGAAACGTTTTCTAAACATTTCCAAGACCGTGGTGTCCAACAAACCGCGTCTGCAGTTCGAGTTAGGATTGTGACAACACGTATAAGTAGAAATCGACCGTAGTAGACGGACCGTGTTATTTCGGTGTATACCACATTAGCATATCGGAATAATATTCGTGTAACCCTGCGAAGAACGACGGTTCGCATGTTAAACGGACGAATGTACGCGGCTGGTGACGCAGAAGAACATAATCACCGAAATACGATAAATTTTATAGGCGCGGCCAAAGTTTCGGTGAAACAGGTTAACGATCGTGTGGACAAGAGTACAACGTTTCCGCGGGGAAATTATTCGAAATAACTGTCGCATAAAATCCAATCCGCGTACAAACATACGATCACCGGTGTAAAACAAAACGGTTTTGTTCCGAAAATAAGAGATTGAAAAAAAAAAAAAAAATTTAATTTCGTCCTTAATTGTGTTTCTCGTTGGTTTCGAAATATAAAAAAAATAAATATTAAGGGTACGTGTAACAATATACGTGCTGCAGTGTGTCCCACGAGGATTTACCGTAGTTGAACGCGGTAAGGGATTCCGGTTGTCCGCGGTTTTAAATTAGCAAATCTTCGCGGAACATCATGGATATTATTCTTTATTTATACGCGTACTTAACTCGGCAAATTATATCATAAAGATCGTTCGTTAGAGCGAAACGGAGATATTTATCCTTGACGCGAACGCGGCGCGAAATTAAATTTTATCACACTTTGATGATGATATCCACGATTGCGTTGCATAACAATGATTTATTCGTCAGAAGAGCTATTTCGTATACGATTTATGTTTTTATCAGACATGATTAAATACACTCGGGCCGTTCTCCGAGATCCTGATTAATTGCAAAAACACACACACAATTATACGCGAACGGGATAGTTGCACTACAACCGTATACAACATACTTGTACGTGTATTGTAATTTTATTTATAATCAATAGAATTATTATTGAAATACAGCTCGTGTTGTACGAGTCATCAACACGTATTTTCATGCAATTCGAAACGATCCGAATATCGTACGCTGGTATAAGATTGCAAAGGTTTTCCGCGCGTACGCGTCGCTATTATAATGCGGCGAAATACCAATGAAACCATTCGATATTTGAATGAAAATTTATTTAATTTTTTTCGAAATCACATTAATTTTCCAAAGGATAATATTGCCGACGGCGAACAGTCGCGTATTGTATACTTTTCCATGTCTGCTGTTTTCCGCCGCGCCAATGCCCCTGACCTGAATTCTTTTCCTCCGGCGATCATGCACGTTCATTGTTATCTGCGGGTTTTCTGAGCGCGCAACTTCACCGCAACTCCTCGGGAGCACTCTCCGATACGCAAAACGCGATGCAATACTTTTGGTTTCCGTCGGAAAAGAAAACGACGACGGACAACGTTGCGAACGCGTAAAAAAATTATTACCGCGCACCAGGCGCATTGAAATAACAGTTCGATCGATAATAATAAACGAGTCTCTTTTCTTTTTTTTTCGATTCCATCCACGCACAAAAATAATAAGACTCGAGTTTGCGGTCGCAATGATCCGAATTCGCTCCGTTTAAGCTCGATTTTTACAGGGAGGTTGCAGAAATGTCGTCAGCTATTTCTGCATATGTCACCGTGTTCTTTTTACATTTTCCCGGAAAACCTTCCGAACAAATTTTTCACGTGTATACCGTCAAACGTGTTGTTTTGGATTTTCAGATGCCAGAGAGCTGTACGAGCTTTTGCTGCAGAAGGATCTAATAGACTCGATGGGCAACTCGTTGATCGATCCGAACCATCGTATGGTCCGCAAAAATCAAAGGTCCCCGTCGCTGAGGTTAAGGTTCGGACGTCGAAGTGATCCGGCGTTTTATCAGGTGAGCACCGCCCACCGACCGACCAACCGACTGGTTGGCAATCGTATTTTATTATTTTTAATTTCGTTTCTTCCGGCTCAACGATGACAACGCTATGTAACCACTCGTGTTGTTGAATGCGTCCCAACCATAATGCTTACACGATGATTTGCACGTGATTATTTATCATTTTATTGATTTTATTAATATTATCTATTTTTTTTTTTCGTAATAAACATTATTGTCGTGGCTGCGGGTAGCAGATTACGTGAAAACGTAATAAGTTTATATCAACCGTCATAAATGAGATATCAACAGGTAAAATGTATTATATTTTTTGCGTTACGAGTAAAGTGCTAGATGTCGAACTTCAGTGTTTTAAGTGATAACAAATGATAACTTTACCCGAAATGGATGGATATTGTTATACAATGGTCGATTGTCGTCGCGAAATGTTCGAATACCCCACTTTGCCGGTAACATTTGTTCGCAAGTTTAAAAGTGCAATGCAGTCTCTTAGTGAGTTTATACATTTTTCATGTCTCCGAGAGAATTTGTAACCACACAAAACTTTTAAGTGGGTCGAAGATTGTTTGTACATTGAATCCGCATAAATAGAATAATGTTCTATGCGTGTACATAATATTTCCCGGATTGTTTTATTCCATACGATATTATGGTGTTAAATTATCGACGGTCCTAAGCGATTCGGTTCATTTCGGTTAAAAGCTTTTTGTGCCGGAACGGTGTACGAATGCCGTTTTACATAAGTTCACACAAGTTCTGGAAGTTTCGAGGAAGAGCACGAGAGTTTAATGAAAACCGGCGGCGTCCGGGATGACGATTAATAACACGTTCATTTCGTACTCGAAATGTATTGATAAAAAATTATAAGCAGAATTATATGAGCGCGGGTCATAATAGTAATACTCCGAATTTCACTAACGGCATTCACGCTTGTACGGTTACAGAATTTTGTTCTACATTCTGGTTCGGCTTTACGATTTATCAACAGAAAATAATAATAATAGTAAAGTAATATAAAAAAAAAAAAAAAAAAAACAGTTAAACGCGTAAGCTCTTGCGCGTACACGGACCGGCCACCAGTGATGTGTAAAAGTATGTACAACAATAAGATTATTACTTAACACTGTACCTTGAAGTACAATACGGACGATGCGTAAAACCGTTTGTTTACGAATAAATAATATTCTTGTTGGATAATTTGAAGTTGCTTAACATCATCCGATTGTATTCTCGTACAAAATACATACCTTTCAAAACCTATTGCGATACCGTTTATTTGGATTTTACTACAATGAGACTCAATGCCGAATCTGATTACGGTATTCTCCTTTATCGAAAATATATAATTTCTAAATTTCGTTAGTGCTGAATGGTGAATAAAAATTACACATTATTTAAATAAAAAAAGATATATATATAATTTTTTATCACATTGTTATAACCGTAATCTATACATATCTTCATATTAAATATAGTACCTAGTTCAAGCTTTATTTTTGTTATAGTCTAGTGAATACGTATAAAAAGGACTTCAATGTCATGTATGATAACGTGTAGAAATTAAAAACATGTAATTTACTCGAACGCTCTATTGTCAGGCTATTAATATTATATCTAGGGCTCGGATGTTCATGCAAATAAAATGACTGTAATATGTATGTATTTATGCACTAAAAATATGATCAATTATGCGTTCAAAGTGTGCACAATAAACATAAAATATGATTTTTGTTAAAAAAAAAACACCAAAATAATCAGAACAACATTTTACATTTAATATTAAAAATTAAAATGTTTTATAAATATTCAATATTACTAATTTACATATTATGAGCACTGTTATAAAATGGTTTTTTTTAATGTGATCAAATCAGAATCCAAAAATATTCGGGTCAAACACAAGTATACGTGTCGATAATTTAAATTGTTTTTAAAAAAAATTAAAAATTTACTGAAATAAGCGTTATTAAAATCTCAAAAATAGGTATTTAAAATGTAAAACCATAAAATACGCAAAAATGGGCAAAATCAAAAGAGTAATATTTGATTCGGTAGAACACGAACCAAACGTGTACGTGGGTCGGCATTAATTCGAATGAATAGCAAAAAAAAAAAAAAAAATGCAATTTCATAAAAAAACATATGACCCCTAATTATGTCACATTATCAGCAACATGTGTTCAACGGTGAACGTGGTTTTACCGTTTCGCGGTGAACCCGAAGAAAATCGTATAAAGTTTTGGGAACCCACCGGCCTACGGTGCAAGAGTGCGTTGGGCGATAAAATGAATGTCTTGCTGCGCTCGGGATCCATGAGATGATCGTAATAACGGGTGCCGTAAAACCGTAATATTTTAATGTACAACGTAACTGGAACCGCAATCAAAATAGAACTGGCGTTCGGACGTCGATTAAGACTTGTTATGCAATATTCTTTGAACGTAGACTACATTACGCGCACGGACGTGCGACGGAGGCGTAAACAAACTGCATTTCCTAGACGCTGTTCTGGGTAAATAATTAAAAGCGGTGAAAATAATAAAAGTCGAATAAAAACGTATTCGCGTACACCGGGAGAAGAAGATATAATGATCATTAAGCGCGCGAAATGTTATTCTTCCGCGGGACGCGATGCCGGTCTCCGGAGAGTTGGCGAAACATATTATTATTACATCGCCGCACCGCCGCGGTGTTTTCATTATCGCTCGCAATGAATCCGTTCTCCCGGGAGACAACCGTGCACGGAGGGAGACGGTCAGGTCATCAAATATGCGAGAACGACAACCACGCGCTTAACTTGATTGTAGCTACACGGACACGCACAGCCCGAGTTACGACAACGTTGAATTCATCACACAACGTCGCCTACATATCGTTTGTTTATTTGAAAATGCATACGTCCAACACTTACGCCTTATTGACGCAACACAGGTGCCTTCAAACTTATCGGTATATGTTATCTGTAATTATGATCATCTCTTTTTTTTAATTTTTTAATTTTTTCAGAAAATAAACACAATATTTTTATTTATTATTTTTTTTTTTTTTTTTTGTAAATAATTTGATTTCTTTGTTCAGCACACGATTATTAAATAAGATCAAAACACGTAAAACGTTTAAACGTTGCGTAACGTAACGTATAAGTCGACTTCACCGTCAGTCGAAAACACACCGACACCAAATGCTGACAAATAACTCTTTAATCGACTGTTAAAAGACTATTTAACTTACGGCATCTGTTAGAACAGTACACTAAGACGAAAATTAGACGTTAATCACGAACAGACGCGCATACACAGACGGCAGAACCAAGACTAAATTATTAACGAACGACGATTGACCAGAGTCAGCGCAATGAAATTTGTTGGTAACGTTTATGGAATCGTTAACGTCCTATCGGAAATCGTATGATGTGCAGACTACGAGCTTAATTTTTATAAATAAAACTAGGCTGACCGACGATCATCGAGACGTATTTCTAGAAAAAAAAAAAAAAAAACCTGCGTCTGCGAACAATCAACAACCATATGATGAACCATTTAAAATTTGGCCACCCTTGATATATACGGCATTAACAGCGGTTATTTATAGCCAGTTGGTTCGCGTGCAGTCATTTTTTCACCTTGCGCAATGCTGACTACAGGTGATACGTTCACCACATGGGTCGTTTCTCGAGGCTTAGACCAAACGGACGAGGAAAACGACCGCAAATCGGTGAAACAATAATAATTAAAACGTTTTCGACGACGCGATAAGGTTTTGCTGGCAGCTTACACGTTGTCACGTATTGCGTTCGATGAGCGGATGTTGCAAACGCTGTTTGTCGCCTGACCGTGATTTCGTTTTCATACTTTATAAACTCTCGTAGTAAGCCGATACAGCAGTAATTGCGCGCGATCAATCAACACTCGCTATGGTATTGTCGTGAAACAACGCGTCGCACGAACGTATAATGAAATAAAGCTCCGTCCGATTCCGAGGTCATCTGGGTTGTGATCGAAATACGACCGAGCACCGAATCAATTCGAAAAAATTCGATTCGATATTGTGCGAACCCGAGAGATTCGTTTTTTTTTTTTTTTTTCCAGTACACCGGGTAACGATCATTAACCGGGATTATTCCGCCGGAACGGCAGTGCGGCGACCGAACGCGTTCCGGTGAAATGTCAATACGAACCGTAACAAGCCGTCGACCGCGGAGCTACGGAGCGCTTTGCGAAAATATAAGAGTTGTGGACGTCCGTCCGAACCGTCACGACCTACACTCGTCCAAGGCCCACGGTCAAGAGCGTATTTTAGGCGGGTCTGTCGAACAGAAAAACGACAGGAGTTGTCGATCGGTTTGACAACGACGAAAAAGAAAATTTCGGATTTTTTCGTCTGGGATGAGCGGCTTTTACATTTTTTTTTTTTTTTTTTTATTGTTCATTTAACGTAAAAGTTTTTTTTTTTTTACTAATACGACCGGGGATAAAAAATTAATGATTCTCCGAAAAAAAATTAATTTCACAGACGGTTAAAGGACGAGTAATCTATTTCGTTCGTGTACGTCTTATGAAAACACGGTCTAGCACGCCTTCGGCACACGGCGGTCGGTACGCGCGCGCGAGTTCGATAACGTTTCGATCAATCATTTCGACGCGTCACCAGGCCTCGTGGACTCCGGGCGCTAAACGAACGGCCCTGGCTCTCGGGGTAGCCGAGTGGCAGCAGAAAAACCCATTACGATCCGTGTAATTGGTACGCACCGGCCGTCTTCGCGTGGAAAAAAAAAAAAATCAACGTCGTCGAAGGGCACGGAGGCGAGAAAATCGGTTTTTTCCGCTCAAGGTGACACGATACACGAGGGATACATATTTCTATACGTGTATGGATTTAAAACGATATTAAACGAACCGTAAGACATCGGACACGGACACACGTAGGTGGGCGAGCGCGCGCACGGAAAGGGTTCGCTAAATGGAAAACATACGAACGCGGGGACAATACGTGAT